AGTCAGTCTTCACACAAGGCCACTCACATACACACTATTCCAACTGGCTTGTGGACGTCACGAAGACTCACATTGTTAAAAACTTCATAGGGCACATGCTTAAGTTTAACCGACAACCATCCGACAGACTACCACTATCTGGACTAATGATGAATCCGGGTGGAAAACGAACACGAGCAAGATGAATTCGACCTCCAAGGCTTTCATTGCGAATCGTGATAGAAAGACAATAATTACAAGAAAGCGATTTTCACGAGCCACAGGCAAGCAGAACAACCAAGTGATTGATTCAAGAAAACTGTAAACATGATGGTGTGTGAAAATGCGGAAGTTAGAAAAAAACAAGAGCAAGCAAGACATTGCTTGAAGTGGAACCGGAGAAATCACAGTTTCAAGTAAAGATAATTAACCTTTACTTGAGAGGTAGGTAGTTCGGATAAGGGTGAAGGACAACTGTCTCCGGATAACGTAAGTTCTCACGGGTGACTGAGAGGTCAGTGAATGGTAATGACAACACGAACAATGTGAGTCGATTGGGACTATGTAGTGGACAATAAACCGGCTGCCAGGCATTCTTCTCGTAGTCCTTTGAGAATACTACAGGTGGGTAGGAGAAGTGAGAAAGACAAGATCAAAGTGCATAATTCTATCATCCGAACATATCATCATTACACAGAGAAGCAAACAAGCTCGTTCGCGGTGATTAATTTAAAGGCTAACACATCGCAATGGATGTCAAAAAGTCGAGTAGTAAAGGAGAGGAAACATGCCGGATGTTGTCAGCGGATTCCGATCCCCTTCCCAGACCCCTACGTTCTAAAAAAGACAATTACTGAGAACACTTGGCTTTCGTGGCCAACACCAAACATGACACAGTCATCTATTCTACTTAATGTAAAGTGTGAGGTAAATTGAGTAATGGAATTGAAGTGTTGTCTGTTTCTCTTCCCGATTCGTCATGTTTACTCAACCCTACTAAACATTTGGACATACGTTGTGATGCATTAGCTTGTAGATGAGTAAATGTAAACGAGCTTGGTCGCCGCTGTTTGTTTTTCTTCTCAGAATGGTTTTTGTTCGATCAACGACCCAAATAAAAATTCCACATTGTTTTACGTTGTAGCGGCTGATGAGAGTAAAGAAAATGCAAACCTCTTGCAGTATTTGTTTTTTTCTCTGTTCTAAAATGAAGAGACGATAAACTTGTTCTGAAGTATTGTTTCGTGTTAGACTGGGTTGACGTATTTGAACCAAACCGAACCACGTACAGTTATGACTTTCGAGAATTGTCATTTAATGCACCCATGACGCTAGTCGGGGAGTAGTGGAATCTACGAATTCATCTTAAGAAATCATCAACTCACTGACTGTACAAGACTGCATGACTGTAGCAGACTAGAAGTCTATCCAGGATTTTTCAACCGTTTCTGTATGAATAAGCGGATATATATATATATATATATATATTTTTAAACACGTCTGAATCCAGACTGTGCCAAACAAATCATGGTACAATAACCTTTACAAAACGAAAAACGTTCCATGATTTGCATGTGGGCCGAATACTGCCAGGTTGACCAGGCCAAGGCAAGTGAATTTTCTGCAGGGATCCACAACTGGAGCCTTCGGCTAGCCAAAGCCTGACCCGCAAGGCAGCGGGGAGGTGTGCGAAAACCGCAATCCTATTGGGGGCCGGTGTCCAGTTCATCGGATCATACACCTTTCGGACGGGGTCAAACGTCCAATGTGCCTAATACACCTCGATGCGGATACGATTCGCTGGAAGCAAACCACCGGTTTGATTGTTATTGTTACTGACTTGTTAAGTTAAAAACTGGCGGCAGTGTGAGCACGTATCATCTTACAGTTCCTACAGTTCGTACAGGCTATGAGTCAGAGCTAGTGTGTGAGCTAAGCACACTTCAAATTGATGATGTAGATGAGTAGTGGGATCAGATTAGGCGAACAATGCATTCCGTAGCGAATGTTACTTGTGAACCTGAATCTCAAGATCGACGGAGGCATTGAACGTCTGATGAGCCTGTAGCACTGATGGATCGAAAACAACAAATCCTGACCTGTCAGGATCAAAACAGGGTCAGGTGGCGCCTGCAACGTCGGCTGACGAAGAGCCTCAAAGAGGATCGTGAAAACTGGTGGGTAACAATAGCTACTGAAATGAAAGTGGCAGCTGCATCAGAGACTGTTCTGACTGATACGCAATACGGGAGGTGGACGTTCTTCAGTTAGTGAAACAGTCTGCGATAAGATGGAACACGCTATTCACAATAGGGATCAAAGACCTGATCGCTGGGCATAGTACATTGGCGAACAGTTCATCTGGCCTGCCGCTAACCAGGTTACTCCATCGGTAACTGAAGCTCCGTGGGCAGTGTCGTACGATTATCCAGAATCGGGATCAGTTTGATGCCGATCGTCACTAAAGTGCTAGCCTCGTTCATACTTCGACATCTGACTCCTTGAAGAGAGACAAGCCGGATACCGGCACCCCGTGGATGTATTGATCAAATTTTTACGTTGCGGCAGGTTCTTCAGCTGCATCACACCCATCGTCGACCAACGATTGCAGTGTTTCTTGATCTGAAAGGAGCGTTCGGCTCAGTTGACCGCGAGGCTCTGATGGGTTCCCTTCTTCAAATAGGAAGGCCCTAGAAGTACGTTAACTTACTGAGGTCACTGTACTCACATACCTCTGGTCGAGTGAAGGTTTACAAAGAACTAAGTGGGCCGTTCGTCACCAGCAGCGGCGTTCATCAACAGTCTCCTCTTCCTGTTCAATTTCGTCGCAGACGAAACACAGTAGAACACACTTAGTGATCTCCAAATTATACGTATGGAATGGGCGGCTGGAGAAACGCTGTGCGATTTAGAGTACACCGATGGCATCATCTGCTTGTTCGAATGTATGGAGGACGCGCAAAGCGCCACATTCGGTTTGTGCTTTGCACCTTCAAAGTACAAAGTGATGCTGCATGACTGAGTGTCGCCTATTCCCGCTAAGAAACTAAATGACCGGGAATTATAGTGGATTAATTTTCGTACTTAGGCAGTTCCGTGACTAATGAGGGTAGCGTAGCAAAGGAGATAACCACCGGCAGCATACGCAGGACTGAAACACCTTTGACATAGACGCAACGTTTCACTGAAGTTGAAAGGTCGTGTATGTTATGCCAGCATTCATGCAGCTCTGCTTTATGGCTGTGAAACCTTGAACTTGCGAGTAGAAGATATCCATCGAAGAGAGGTTTTTGACTATTGATGTTTATGTAGTTTAGCCCACGTGGGATGGTACGAACGGGTCATTAGCTTGGAGGTAAGTCGTCGTATATAGTATATAGATATAGAAGTATATCAGGTAAAAACCTGCTGGAGCATCGAATTCAGATTACTAGGCTTCGCTGATTAGGGCACGTATTGCGTATGCCGAGCGAATGTCTTCCACATCGCACCTTACTTGCTGTAGCCGTTGCGGGGCTGGAGAAAACCACGTGGAGGTCAACAGATGACGTGGAGACGAGGCATAAGGAAATGCAGAGTCATTAGGTAGAGTAGGTGTCTCGCGTTTTCCAGGTTGGGCTCCGAAAGACTCCACAACTGATTAGTTGGAGATATCGAAGGATATGACAGCGAACCGACAGCAGTCGAATTCTTGTTGTCATTTCTTATCACGCTAGAATGCTTGAAGCGGTATGGTATATACTCAGAGTTCCATTGTGTACTCTGTGTGTTAACCTTAGAGGATCACTCTCTTCCCCCTACCTCAAAGTAGGTCCAATCCCTGTCCACCTTCAACTTCACCACTAACTTTGTATGCATTGCGAGTTTAGCAGTGATTAGTGGAGTTCGCTTAACTGTATTCCGCCGTGCGATGATGATGACACATAATCTACCGCCTATTCTGAGCAGATCTTGCATTTCGCTGATGATAGTAGCCGCAGGCTAGGATGTTGAATTGTATTGCGCATAACTTTGCAAACACTAAAGCTCATATTTCAGTTAAAAAGCTATGCATGTCAACCATCAGGAAGAACATATTTAACGGGGAGAAAATGTTTACAGACATGAGGGCATTTCATAGTCCGAGATTAAAACAAAGTTCACTTGTTGTGCGCTCTTTGTTTGTGAGTAAACGTGCAAGATACGGGTGAAGGTGAATTTCGGTAAGCGTTTATACGAGATGAAATTTGGTGGAATTGAGATTGTGTGGAGGGATGGGAACGACAACGGTCTGCGTGCAATTGGTGGTCAGGATCTGTGAGAATCCTCTCCGCAAATTTCATACAGGAAGGTAAGTGATACTCTGAGAACTTCACAGCTAACTCATTCACAGGAATAGGAGAAACGAGACTGGTTAGAGCGCAGCGTAAGACATCCAATACCTGTTACAGTAAATTGGGAAAACATACTGATACACGAAGGTATTAATGATTGACTGTGGTGCGCAAAACCGTCTGAGCTTTTGAATTTTCAATGATAGGCGCGGCAGTTTACCAATACGGTTATGGATGTAGGTTGACGAAGGAAGATTGCTATCTATAGTTAAACCAGTATATTTGACAGAGCTTACTCTAGATGGCCTTCAGAGTGACGGCGTTGTCATGTAAACAATCTAATCTGAAAAGCACTTTCTTGGATTTATCGCGAGAACTCTTGATCTTAGCCTTTAAACGTCTTGTCGAGGGTAAAAAAAACGAGGTACTGAGTCGCACAACGGAAACGAGGCTTGCTACGTATTCCAGTACAATTAGATCGATCCAGGGGACGAGTGAGTGCGAGAAAATCGCGAAACTGCACACCCGGATCAGTCACGGAATCCACAGAGTTCACCTCGGGTCTCTTCAGCAAACCGCGAAATCTACCGGTTTAACTCATGAAGTCAAAAATGAAATGTTCAGATGAAGTCTAGCTAATGTGTTAATTCACACAGGTGACACGATTTGGAAGGACGCAAGCAACAGATAGCAAACCAGACGAAATTCTTAACAAACGTACTTTTTCAATTGAGATACTTTTTTGCACTCCGCGTGGAAATTATCCACAAGCAAACGGGTCAATCGACGGGGACGATTCCACAGTGTTTCCGGATCCGAAATCACCTGACGCTGATACAACTCCCGCCAGACAGCCTAGGACACGATATGGGGTCAGAAGATGAGGAATGAAACTTCAAACGAGTAGCGTCGAAAACGATTAGGATGAAATATATCATAATTTATTTCCAGATATTAGTCTAAAGAGTATGTATCTTTTAATACACACGTTATGGCATTAAGAGGGAGCAAATAATAAAGAAAGAAACGTTAACGATCTATAATGATGATATATATACACTGCCGTTCTCATTGAACAGGTGTGGTTTGAACAGCACGGAAGATCGGCTGTTGAAATGGGCATATGGAACAATGTCACTTTGCAAAACAATTCATGCTATCGTTTAGATTAACTGAAAAATCGGGCTAAGGGAAAAGTTTCCCAACTTTGACGAAAAGGTAGTGAGCCATTCTCAATGATCGGTGTGGATAAATAACACTGTTTACCTTAGTCACACTACAACAAACAGAAAACGATAAACTGGCTGCGTGAAACAGGAGAGTTTGTGCAATTTTTTCGATTATCTAGAGTATCAGTACAGGGAAATGGGGCGCGTAAAAACGAGGTGAGGGTGATAGCAAACATTAGCTACTTAATTAGTCTAACATGTTAGCGGGAAATCACATCAGTGTCAAACATGACACTTTAATGCATTTGAGCAACCAGTGTGCATGTGTGTGTGTGTTGAGTCAAATCAATGTACGAACTGTTAGCGCCGAACCAAGTAACACATTCTACTAAAATCCAGTACGGTATTTAGACATTTGTTTATAGTTGTTTCTTTACTCATAAATTTGTAAAATAACAATCGACATTTGTATACAGCATAAAATATACACTCATGGGTGCAAGTCAGTGGTAAGTTGCCGGCAAGAACCGCTGTTGCACTACGTACCAATGCTTGAGGTGCGAGACACGGCCAACAGGCATAATTCTCCACAGATTCTTCACCGACGTAGAGCGGATTCTTGAAGTGTCTCCGCAGCGTGGGTTGATTAAGGTAGGACCTGTAAAAAGAAACAAAATGTTTACTCACAAGTCACATATCACCCAGCAGTTTACAGACACATCACAAAATGCTAATAATATGAGCACATGTTTGAAATCATGGAAAATCTTGTGAAAAAACCAGCTGGGTGTACATCAAAGATTGTTTTGCCCCAAAAGATCAATGTTTCATCAGCATTGACAACATTTTTGGAGCGAGACGAATACTTAGCAGATCGATCACCATTCCAGATGCGGGGATTGGACCGTGGTATCCAAATCAAACTGTCGCGAAATTTTAGTGGCTATATGATGTCAATCTTGATCCAACCTGGGGATAGCAGACACGGTATGAAACCGATCGCGTACTGATGACTTCCTGTGTGTCCCACCGAGTTTACATTTAGGATGAATCACCGAAATTTGACACCGGTTCACGCTGATAACTCCAACGGATCCTTACACGGTGAAAAAAAGTTCCGATTACACACGTCAAAGCAGAATAAACGAGGAATACCTACACCGAAATATATATTTATATATGCCATAGAATCGACCAATCCAATGTAATGATTTCAGCTGAGAAACATGCATACATGTGTGTTCGAATAGAGAGCTGTTTCAATGTGAACGGAGAATAAGCTTAACATTATAGTTGGGGAGAATATGTGCCAGGGAAGCTTTGCATAGTTCTATTCAGGGGAAAAACTTGTCATCATGAAAGTCACAACTCACCACAGAGAAACAGTCTTTTGTGCCGTATTCAACCGGGCTCGATCTTTCATTGAGTTTCCGAGGAATGTGCCTAGAACATGTCATACGATTGGAGAGGATGATAAATCAGAAACAGTATGAGGGTCACCATGGGCAACAATCGTTTATTCCACCAACAAGAAACCAAAACTGTCGAGAAAATGATCATTTATCACACTCAATCACCAGTAGGCCCAGGGGTTAACAAATACCAGTTTGTTTTCCAATCGGAACCCCGAATTGAGGTCTCTGTTCAGCTTTCACTAACTGTGAACAGTGATTTAAGTGTGGTGATCCAATCGCTGGAAATAACACACCGGGTCGAGGAAATACACGTCAGAAATTCTGGAGAATAGATCGGAAATCAGCAATTTCGACCCAATAAAAGATATGGAGTTCAAAAAGAAATTGTGTGATGCAGAGAACACGGAGAGTGGTTGATTGAAGTCTGCTTGCATAATTCTATTTCGGATCGTAAAGTATCCCCATTGATGGATTAGAGCAAGGTGAAAAAGCGAAGAAATCTGTTTTTGATATATCGCTTCAGGCAATCACATATACAGTTACATTAATTAATAGATTAATACAAGATCCAGGCTGATTTTGGATGAATTTGTGCAAAGTGTTCAGTTGAGCACAAGCTATGCGGTGGCGATAAATGGATAGAGAAAAGCAGTGTGAAACTCGTGCGAACTGGACACGATATGAGAGATGTTAGTGAAAAATGAATGAGACCGGAGTGAGTGTGAGTTAATAGACCATAAACCGGGAACGCGGGAGAATGGAAATGGTGCCACATAGCAATACAGGGTAATCACTTCTGTGGTCATGGTAACAACAACGTTTGAAACAGATTACGTTGCTTCATAATCCTAGTTGCTATGGTTTCCGCAGTTGTCAGGATCTTTGTAGACAATTCTTCGGTGTGTGGCGCAATGAAGAAACTTGTAAATGATGTTTCTGGGTCAGTTTTGAGTCCACCATTGACCAACTGTTGCAGGATTGAGCTGTTCAAGCTTCTCACTGTTCCTTGTCGAAGACCGACCGGATAGGGTCCAGATATTCTCTTGGATAAACGCTTCGTTGTGTGTCCGATATGCTGAGCACGTAAACTGATATAGAACGGATTGGGACTGGTAAGGCGATTTATCCTTAGGCTGTTGAACAATGAATGACTGAGTTCTCGATGGGGGTCTCAAATGCGCCGCGGGAAAGTAGTTGGAAATGGCTTTGAATAATCGACATACCAGGATTTCTGATGCCCTGCCTCCCTCGAAAGGGACATTGAGAAACACCTGCTTTCCAGCCAGTTGTACTCTTCCATCGTTTGGTCGTCGAACAAACACCTGCGGGTATCCATTCTTACTGAGAATATCTCCAATGTAGATCAACTCTTCGTTCAGGGTTTCCGGACTACAAATTTTCTTTGCCCTGTATGCTAAACAGTTCAACAAATTCCGTTTGTATCTCAGTGGAACGAAACTTTGAACGTGTGCGTACTATCCTAACCACGTGCGCTTACGGTGAACCATTATTTTGATATGGCCATCCACTACACGAAGATGGTCAATGTTCATTGCAACTCGTATACTCGGATGTGCGTTGTTAAATACTTGATGTCACTTATTAATGTCCGTTCCACCCACCCACCCACACACATTCACTCAACATCGACTTAGGCTCCGCATTATTCCACTACGTCGGAAGAGATATATCGAAAAGAAATTTCTTCGCATCTCTACTTTGTTCTTAATTTTATTTCCATGAACACATTATTTAATCTTAATAAGTTATTCCGATCAATGAATATGAAAAGGATTAGGTTTTGACTCATAAAATAATGAAAATGTTTTTTTTATTTTGAGGCTAGCAGATATGAGAACAAGATAACGGAAATGGAATGTTTCTTTTTCGTCTCTTCCGAAATCTGTAGACAAGATCGGGGCACGCTGAAAGTGGCACGGATAAGAAATAATGCAGTGCAAATTTATGGAAGATGATCTGATACTTGTGTGCTAAATGAAAATATGAGTAGAGATAAATCACTGCCCAGGATCGATATCACCGGGTAGGCAAAAAATGAAACGGTTATGACGAGGTTACGCCAAACCACAAGCGCAGAGCAACCAAAAGGCAATTGGAGCTTTGCAGAGTTGTTCCGAATGAATGAGGCTTGCATTGTTCGCTATCTGATCAAGTTCAATGTGTCTAAAGTCTGAAAATTGTACTGTGATCTCCTGACCAAATCAATGTGCTCTATTAGTGAAGGGACGAACCCATCAGTTTGTTCGCGTCCTCATTGGATTCGGTTCTTCCTAAACTAAGACATTTTATTGTTTTCCATTCAATCTGTCAGATAATCGCACACAAAGTTATGCTTTTCTTGCCTCTGCATATTTTAGTCTCATATTGTCTATACCCTATTGGGTTGATGGGATTAATTCCGTCCCATAAATCATTTTTAATTAGGCCGACAACATCTTCTCAGTGGATGCTTTTGTTGTTATTGTTACTCGTCACGGTCGAACTTGGGCTAAGACATCACTACGGCGCTGCACTCGGAGTCGTATGGCGGTGGTGGCCGAGTGTCAACATCACCAAGTTATCGCCTCAGAGAATGTGTGTACGAATCCCATCAGCACCGTCATCTGACTTTCCTCATTTTATATTGTAATGGCAGATCTTTGACTGGTCGCTTCCCTCTTCCTGAAAAGGAAGTAAAACTAAATACAGCGAACCGCAGCGTTTACATCGTAATACATTTTCCAAAGCAGTTTTCTATGCGCACACTTTTGTGCATAGGATCCTGCTACTCTCAGTGGAGGTTATAGCAACCGAAACGGAGACTTATTCAATAGTGCAATATTTCTTCCATTCAGCTAGCTGCATGACAAATGACGGCAAATTAGTCGAGGAAGTAACCGTCCACACTTCCAAGGCACGAGCAGCTTATGCAAGACTGAAACACCTTTGGTGCAGACGTAATGTTTCATTGAAACGGAAAGCACGGGTATACTGCGTAAGTATGTGGTCAATTCTGCTTTATGGTTGTGAGACCCTAAATTTGCGCGTGGAAGATACTCCTCCTCTAATAATATTCGACTTTCGATGTTTAAGTAGTTTGGTGCAGGTTAGATGGAGCAAGCGTGCAAGTAACTCCGAGGTAAGGTGTCACGTATTTGGTAATGATTCGATGGAGAATTCGTTGTCCCATCGAAGTCAGACTAGTCAGCTTCGCTGGTAAGGGCACGTATTGCGTATGCTCAGCCATCGTCTACCACATCGCGCCTTATTCACAGCTCCGGGATGGAGGAAACCACGTGAAGGTCAGCAGATGACATAGAGACGAAGCATGAAGAAATTCACAGAGCGATTAGGTAAGGTAGGTGTCTCCCGTCTTTCAGGTTGGAGACACTGAGGGATATGGCGACTAAGAGACAGCAGTGGCATTCTTGTTGTCATTTCTTATCAGATCAGGATGCTTGAAAAGATATGTATTTACAGTTAGGTTTTGCACTTTGCGTATTGACCATAGAGGTTCACATTCTTTGCCACTGTCCAATTAGGCCACGCGAAATGATCCGGAGAGGGGGGGGCGGTGGCCGGAAGCTCATAGGGATTCAATGACCATACCAAAATATGCTTATTCACATGTAAGAACAAAGGAGAAAAACGCAAAACGATCGAAACGTTGACAACAATTGTGATTCGTTGTGGATCATGCGCAAAAATTTCCGATCCATTATCATCGTCGTTCTAATTAGTTTTTCCGTAACACAATTGTTTTCGGAGAGTGAGTAAACTCAGTGGCAGAATGAAACTCTTCCCATCCGAACGGATCAAACTATCAGATGAAGGCGTGTGGAACTGCAGCAGCAAAATGATCAATACAATTGGCTGACTGGGATTTATATAGATACCGCCATTCTCAAAAAGACTACAGGGCATCCGTCAGAAATTCCAGAACCATGCCCACGATCGTTCTTCATACTAAGTTGGGGTACATAGGTATGTATTATTTGCCTGATGAGCAGGGACGAACGCGAAATCGGTCATGCGCTCCAAGCGAATATTTTATCGAACTATGTATCAATTTTGTGTAAGACATAAAACATAACGTATGAAAAACAAGAATAACTGACCGAACTCGGAACAATAGGCATGATTGGCCAAAAAGCACAGAAGTTCTTCGGTGAATTCAAAGCAAGTCGGGTACTGTCTCCAAAGCTGATAGACAGAGGGAACGAGAACAGAGAGGAAACAGGTAATTTCATAGTTCGAGTGTAACCGCGGGGAAAACGACGTATGGACAAACGGAACATTGCCGAGCGGATGGCACAGTTCGCGTAAAGTTTAAAATGCACGATTTTTTCCATGAGGGGCACAACGGTTATCGAGATCAAATTATTGGAAAATGATGAAATTTGTTCTGAAATGGTAATTATCATAAGAAAGAAGTATTCAAGTGCACCATCGTGGCATGCATCGGATCACTAGAATCGTTGTATGTGTGACACGATAATGCTGGTTGGAATTCCACTGTTTCGCATACATCGACGGTTAAGGAGTTTTCTACACTCACAGGACAGGAACGGAGATTATTTTCCGGACTGAACAATCGTCATATACCGAGAGAGATAGAAACAAAACAAATAAGGCAATGTAACTTTTCGTTTTGACCAAAAATGCCGAACTAGTAGTGGTTTTCTTGGTGCCTGCGCATTCACAGTGTAAATTAAGAACAGTTACAGAAATCTACTGTTTACTTGAGGGTTACCAGTAAGTAACCTTAGTTATGAGATTTGAAGTGCCCAGTCCTACTGAGCTCAAGGCCGACTACATATTTGGAATACTGGGGGGGAGGAGCAAACAACAACCACAGAAAGATGGTAGGTGGCAGGAAATGAACCTTGAATCATACGACTCGGTCAATGAAAACCACACGGTCCGCTTGATAGCCACTACCAATGACCTTTATACATTTCACCTTTTTCATTACACACTTTCGTGTGATGAACAGCCGACGAGAAAGCCCTATTGTCACGAGGCCCTGTTATTCTGTGATGGAAACCGGTGACCTAATCCCCGAGACTTAGAGTGACGAACCACATAAGGCCCCTATAGGTTAGGTGTGGTATTGGACCGGACGAGAGAAAAGCTGCCTACCACCAAAGTTGGGTGATGTTGGCAAGGCTCGAACCTTGGATCATAGGATCCAAGACGCGTCTGTGAAAGTGGCTAAATCACTGCGCCGCCACCTTAACCACTTTCGTTTGTGATTTGTTTCACAGTTGCACCACAGCACGGAGCACAAAACAAGTCAAGTCAGTAGCAGTTTCATGCACCCAAATAGGCTAATTTTCAGAGGGGATCACATAGGTTTGGAAGACCAAAAGTGATTTCGACAGTTCAAATAAGGTTCACTCGGAGACAGTGCTATGAACAGACTGGAAACGACCAATCCCCTCGTACCATCAGAGCCGATTTATTAATAGCATCCATAGAATAATAGCTGCTCGGCTTACAGATTATCCGAATTAATTTTTCCCTTAATTAAACAACTTCCTTTTGGGACGAACTAGATCGTACCGAAGAACCATCAAAGGAAAGTAACTGATCAGTATTTCTAGTGTCATAATTCCACAAGATGGTGCCTACATGAGGACAGTTGAGCATTATGAATAACGGTCAGAGTAAATCATTCAGTCCGTCTCCTATTAGCACTCAAACTGGATGCTCCGGTGTTTTAGTTAAAAGTATTATATTTTCACCGAAAGCTGTATTTTTTGGTATTTGGAAATTACATTTCACAATCCAAATCTACCCGTTTTCTTGCGCTCGATTTTCGTGTTTTTCCGCTCACTCTCGTTCTCCGGCAACTGAGTGGTTTGTTGTGTAAAATCCAACTGTTTGCATTAATTCTCAAAGTCTCCACTCAAGGAATGTGGGAGGGGAAGGGAGAAAGTTCCTCACGTCAATTCGATTTGCATTTCTCTCTCTCTCTCTTCCATGGAAATTGGCAATGATGCGTCCTGAATTTGTGGACAGCCGACTGTCGTGTGACCAGCAAGGTATCCGTACGAGCTAAATGTTCCATCCGGAGTCGAAGATTACCCTAAACCTAAAACCACTTCACAGCGGATCAACTTCTGGATCTGGGATCTCTTGATTGCCATTTCGCGCATTCAGATGATCAGTGGATTATGAGTCCCGAATGAGGTCAAAATGCAGGAATAAGAGGGGCAATAACTCCACTTTAAAAGGGACACATCGATGCTGAGTTTATGCAGCTGTCAATGAGAGTTCACTGACCGAGTTCCAATCACGCACACGCTGTTCGTTCGTGACTGGTTATTTGCCATGATCAATCTGAACTTAATCAAAGTTAACCCTCTTTTTGGCATAACACAAACACACAAGAACGAGCCAGTTCCCCCTCACCCTGCGTTGCAAATTTTGTCTACACATTCGGAGATTGCATTAAGAACGCAACAATAATACTGAAAGCACTGGCAGCAGCAACAGCAAACAGAAAGAGAGAGAGCCACTTACTTGCCAGACACAGTCGAGGAACAGAATGAACACCGGAGCCAGTTCGGTGAATGTGCGTGGAACAAAAGCCGCGGATCGAAGACGCTCGGAAAACGGATGACCCAAACGAATCCAAATATGCTCGATCAGGTTTTGAAATCTGT